CATCCATCCATCCATCCATCCATCTATCTATCTATCTAGTGACATTATATTTACAGGACAAAATAGAACAAAATGTGTTTTAAAATTAAAATGTAAGACAAATTAGGTCACACATTGAGCACCCTCCCCCCATGGATTAGCCAAAAAAAACAAACAAAACAAACAAAAAACATGGTGACACCTGTAAGTAACAAATACCTGCAAAGGGTGTGAACATCTCCTACTGGAGCATTTGACACGTTAGACATCGTCAGATTAAAATTACAGCTTTAACTCTAATTTATGGAGGGTTTGACAGGCAGAGCCTGAAGCCACGGGGGGATGATGTAGATTGACTCCTGTCACGTCGCCGATTTGGAAAAATGAGTGGGTTCAAAGAGTTCATACGATGCTGCATAACTGACAGTGACAAATGTTTCTCAACCATAAGTAGAACGAAAGAAAAAGAAGAAGAAGAACCTCCAGGCAGATGGCAACGTTTCATATAGGCTCTTGTTTGGGTAAAACAGCTCATACAAAGCCTGACTCTGTGTTCTCTTTAGCCTCGATGCACATTCATTTCTGCAGCGTTCACACAGCACACAGGACCACAGACTGATGACCTCTGTCCACGTGGGGACGTTTTCATGGTTCCCACTGAGTAAGAGGGTAGTTTGAGTGTCAGGATCGGAGTCATGTAATGATTAATCAGTTAGTCTAATGATTAAAAGTTAGCTTACTACGTGTGATAGAAAAGGTTAGGTTTGGGCTGAGGAATGCATTATGTCTACGTGTAGTGCTAACAAAGCAAAACTGTGTGTGTATGTGTGTGTGCTTTTACGTTTTCAGATGGTCACTGACTCGGTTTCTTAGCACGTTGATCTGAAAGAAAAACATATATAAATGACTGAGAACATGTTAACATAAACAAGAGAAAAAAAGTACCATAATTTCTGGACTATAAGGCCGCTACTTTTTTTATTTTTTTTTTAAAACAATGATGCAGCTAATTTTTTTTTTACCCGGCTAACAAAGTTCATGCCGCTAGCGAGTAGCTACCATTAGCCTGCTAGCCTACTGTGTGTTATATTAGTAGCGTATGTCTGTCTGTGAATGGCTGTGCGTGGCGCACGCAAGAGACAGAATGTTAGCGAAAGTTTACAGCAGTTGTCGCCCACGCAAGAGACAGAACGGTAGCTAACGTTCAGAGCAGTTGTCGCCCTGTCATGTTGAAGTGTGAGTTGGTTGCCAAAACGCTGCGGACAAGCACAAAGTGAAGGGAGTTAGCCCCGGAGCTAATGTTAGCTTCAGCCCCAGAGCTAATGTTAGCTTCGGCCCTGGAGCAGATCAATAAGTCTCCCCTGTGCATTCCAACTACAGTCGAGGCGCCGAAGCGGGAAATAGCTAACGTGTAACCAGCCGTGTTACAGTCAACGTTCGGAAAAAAGCATTTATTAAATTCAAAGTGAAAAACAATCTTTCTGTGTAAATATCCCATGTTACAACATGGACTTATAGAGCAGTGCGGCCTAAATATCTACAATAATGTTGTTCTTTTTAAATTTAGTGAGTGCGGCTTATATTCAGGTGCGCTCAATAGTCCAGAAGTTACGGTAAGTGCTCACGCTCACCTCATATTTCTGCCTGGTGAACTGATACTGCAGGTCGAACTTCTCAGCCTCCAGCTGGTGCATCCACTGCCACATCTCCTGAGCCTTTTCCCTGTACGTACACACACACACACACACACATGTAGAAAACCATTTACAAATGAATGGACATTTTGCGTCTCTACGCCGACCTGAGTTTGTCCGAGCCAACGTTCTCAATGTCCAGAGATTTACGACGATCACCCAGGATCTTCTTCTTCTTCTCCCTCTCCGTCTGTCTCTTCCCGCTGCGTTTCTCTGTCTGGGAGGCAATGGGTCAGAGACAGAGACAAAAACGACTTTTTCTTAATCTTCCCAGAATGCATCACTCCTTCTTCTTCTCACCAGCTTCTGCATGTATCCTCCGAAGTGCAGACTGGTCAGGGTTTTCTTTTTCTTAGCATCGTCCTCAGCGCGTCTCTTTGCCTCCTCCTCCTCTTTACGAGCTCGCTCATCCTAAAGCAAGACAGCCAAACAACCGACTGAGCAACCAATCAACAGAGTCGCTGATTATTGATAGTCCAGATTGTGGAGATTAGCAGCAGCTGATGCTAGGTCACAGTTTAAGCGATTCGTTCAGGGTTCTGGTATCGGGAGCACAGTCGGGACTTTACTTCCAGTCTCTTTTGTCGCTCCTTCTCTCTCTCGCTGCGGATTCGCTGCTGCTCTGCTCGCTCGGAACGACGCTTCTCCTGCAGCAAAACACGGTTTTAGTCTTTGCTAAGTGTAAATTAGCCCGAAGAGGTTCATCACAGTATTTATTTCAGTAGTTCTGTCAGATTCAAACAGGGTTTTTTTTCCTGATTTGGACTAAAGCAGGCATGGGCAAACTAAGGCCCGCGGGCCGGATGTGGCCCGTTCAGGTTTTTAATCCGGCCCGTCAAACTTTTCCAAATTATATATTTGATTTATATTGGCCCAAAGTTTGCCCACGCCTGGACTAAAGTAACAGTCAAACGTAATAAATCTCTCACTGCTGATTGGTTGCTAACTTCCCACCAAACTCACAATTCTTTCTTTGAGGTGAATCAGCTCCTCCTCCTCCTTCTTCCTGCTGTCAAAGTGAACCTCGATCAGCGTCTGCAGCTCCATCAGGTCCTTCTCCATCCTCTTACGATGGATGTCCTGAAAAAAATGTGACAGTTTCCTCGTTTTGTCAGAGCGTAAATAAAAAGAAACCCTCAGGCAGAGACCGTAGAACTGTAAAAAAAAATAAAAATCTTTGTCTTACATCAAAATCAACCTTCTCTCCATCTGGGATTTTAGGAGGAATGAGGTTAGCACATCAAAATCAACCTTCTCTCCGTCTGGGATTTTAGGAGGAATGAGGTTAGGCATGATGAACGGCCTGAAGAGAGAAAAGAAGAACAAGCAAATGTTGTGAAAAACATCTTTGACTGAACACTCATTTTGTAAAATTAAACATATATTTAAACATACGTTAGAGCCACACCCACTTTTTGACTTTTGGTAAACTGGTCAGGCCCGCACAACAGTGGTTCCAGCAAGAAGTTCAGATATGTTTAGTAAGTAAGTAATCAGATCAATCAAAGGGAAGATAGGGATTAATCACGATTAAGCATGATTGATCGAAAGTCGTAAATGATCACAGTAAATCAACATTCCCAAATATGACAAAACAAACGTTGTTCTGGATGCTGTTGCATTTTGTTTTCATCTTTTTTTTAACCGTTGACAAATGCAGAAATGCGTAGTCTAACGCTGTTGACTAACAATAAGTTAGTGAACATTTTAAATCTGATTAATCTTTTAATTGACGCAATTAACACACTTCAACAGCCCTGGTTCTTTTTACAAAATATATATTTTTAAAGGTTTAGCTCCATGACACAAACTGACCACTGGAGGCAGCAGTAGACCAGCAGCTCAGTTGATGTTTTCTGTGGAAGTCGGTGATGTCTGCTAGTATTGCATTTTAAAATAGCCCTTTGTTTGCCTTTTCTTACACACCAACATCACAGAGACGTAGAAGCCACAGGTGTTCTGCTGCCTCTTGTGGTCAGAGTAAGTAACGTAGCGTAAAAGTGAAGTTTAACGATACATTTGTGATCGAGTGAGAGTGAGTGATTGGCAAACTCCTAGTAGTTTCCTGTCATTGTTATTAATAATTAATGTAAAATGTATCCAGGTAGATTTTTACAAACATTATTTCCTTCAGTCGTACATTCACCTACAGGTTTTTGAAGCAGCTTTAAAAATAAGAGGTTAGAAATGAAAATGTAAGTTCTGATGACCAGGACTCACTTGAATTTTGGTTTGGCTTCTTCTTCTGTAAAGAAATGGAACAAAAGCATGAACACACACACTTGCAAACACACACACACATTTTGTTCAAAATGAAACTGACTGAATTGGGGGGGGGGGGGAATTAATTATTTTATTATTTTTATTAGCACAAATAATGGCCTGGGAGTGCACGACCTGCCAGTAGGGGGTGTGCAAGTAAACAAAAAAGATGGCAATTTGCACTATTTTTTCGTGGGATTTTCCCACAGAATATAGACATGCAAAGAAACATTTTCTTTTGAAATATATATATATATGTATATACTATTTACTTAATATGTATCCAACTAAGGAGGTAAACTACTGTAAGAGTCTTTTGTCTTCCTCGACAGGTAAAATGAAAATCTTACCGTCTCCATCTTCTTCTTCTTCTTCTTCTTCACCTGGGGAAAATATCACAAACACCTTTGCTCACATGAGGGCGTGTTGGTTTTCAGGGTCAAAGTTGACATTTCATAAATATTTCTCTTTTTTGGATGACAAGCGTGTTACTGTGATGAGTGTTTTTGTCACCTCTGAATGACCTGTCATAATAACAGAGCAGTTTTACAGCAGGAGGTCATTAGACCTGTTTTACTTTATTTAAAGATGGTCTAATGAATAGATTAGGGTTAAAGTCTAGATTCCTCTCTTTTTTTTTTTTTAGCCCACTAAGGAGGAACACACTGGATCCGATTTTTTTTTAACCCACTAAGGAGGAACACACTGGATCCGATGACTTTGACATGTTTGCGGCGAACAATCGCCACGCGCTATAGGTCAGGAACTGGTTTCTTCTCACCGGGTTCTCCACCGTTTGCTTCTTGCTCCTCCTTCTGCTCCTCCTCCTCCTCCTCTTGATGGTCCTGGTCTTCAGCAGGCTGCTCTTCCTCTTGTGTGGTTGAAAAACACAAGTAAACATTGAATGAATGACTCTCTGATTATTATTAAATTATTAATAATAATAATAATAATAATAATTATTATTATTATTATTATTATTATGCAGCAACATTAACTGTGGGAAACGCTGTTGAGACAGCATTAGAGAGCATTGTGCGCCTCCTGCTGGAAGGTTGACGCAAAAACAGGGCTGTCTCTGTTGGATACAAACGTTTCTTTTTCTCTTACTTTCATCTGTTGCGGTTGATGGACTCAGTTACTGTATAGCTGTGGGGTTCTTACCTTCTGGAGCTTCTTCTTCCTCTGATACACACACACACACACACACACACACACACAAACAAACGTTATATTTCATGGGTTGTTATTATTTACCCGTATGATTAAAGATTAGATTTCATCAGTTTTCAGTCTTATGTGAGAGAAAAAAAAATCTTTAAAGCTTACCTTCAACCTCTCTGTAATACACACACAGAAAGACAAAAAAAATGTATCGTATTAATTATTTTTTACTACGATAACTACGATGCACGATACGAACTAATCAAACAACGTTAATTTAATTTTAAATTTTATAGTTAATTTTTGAGAAATACTGTCATAATATTATAAACATTTTTTCTTTAATATATACCAAAATTTAATTTTAATTTTTTTAACAACAAATATTAATCTACACTAATATTTTATGCATTTATGCAAAAAAACTTTATATATATATGTATATACAGTAATCTTTCTTGTTTAATCAGTTAATTCCAGCCTAAAAATGAAATAAAAAATGTTCTTCTTACTCGTCGTACTCCTCCATTACTTCCTCCTGATCAGACATTAGACAAGGTTTCGGGGTTTTACAGAATCTTGAACAATAAAAATGATAACGTATTTGTATTGAAAATATTCATGTAAAAAATACAGTATTGTTAAAAAAATCCATCAAAACAATGTCTTCAAGTTTTTAGTCATACGGTCTTACCTGGAGCTGAAGAAGTGATGTTTGGCAGAGGAGGAGAAACGAGAGACTGATGCTGAGAGAAAGAAGGAGTGTGTGTGTGTGTGTGTGTGTGTGCGTGTGTATTCCAGAATTCCAAAGCGGCAGTTTTTTGGAAATGGTGATTGTAAAAGAATTTTATCTGACAGGGTTATTAATAGACAAACACACACACACACACACAGTGAGGTGTCAGTGATGGATCACAGTGCTGCAGCTCTTATCCTCATCCTGTCAGGTGCCACTGATTAAAGGACACACTCCTGATGACAAACGTCATGAGCCACATCTACTGTGATCCGTTAATGATCATTCACACTGAACTTTGAATCAAAGCTGGAGAAGTTACATCTATACCAGCGGTCCCCGACCAAGGACTGGGTCCAAAAGGTTTCAAGTTCGAGTCCAGCAACTGCCAAGTTACCACTGAGGTGCTCTGAGCATGGCACCGTCCCTACACACTGCTCCCCGGGAGCTGCCCACTGTTCACTTTGGAGATGGGTTACAATGACAAGGAGTTCACTTTCACGTTTATGTTTTAGATGTTGAACCATGTGTATCAAAAAAAAAAAAAAAAACACACACAAACAATGTTTTTTTAAGGCAGGTCAACAGAAAAACGATAAAGATTTTTATTTATCACTAGGCGTCAGGATTTCCACTCTCACAGCACACGTGAGGAAACAGTCATGAAGAACACAATTTTACTTTACTTAAATGTATTTATCCTCACTTCAAAGCTTGTGTCTCTTCTTAAAGTGCCTAAAAACAGCAGATTGAACTTTTACAGACGAACTGAAAACAAAACAAACTTTTTAAATTGTCAGTCAAAAACGGGCAGTCACAATATCTCAACATCAGAACTTTTTTTTTTTTTGAAAACTGATGAAAACCTCCACGTGTTGAAAGAAGGAATCAGTCTGCTGACGTCCATGTTCAATGTCACCGGTCTGAAACCAACAGGAAAGGACAATCAGTGACAGTGATGGACAGTCAGTGACACTCAGAGTGTATTGTACAGCCATTGTGTTACCTGTATTCATTCTGCTCTACTTGAAGACATGGACAGCGCGGGTGTTGGAGACACCTCCATCTCCTTCATCTCTGTTTTCGAACAAAGTTCTTTTACTGTTGATATTTACATTTCTCAGCTCCTGAAACACAAAAACATTTATGATTTTCTGAATGGGAGGTTACACCTATATAATAATACAACAATACATAAAATACATCTTCATAAATACAATATATATTCTTTTATTTTCCCGCCACAACAGACCAATCGCGCTGCCCCCTTGTGTCACTCTGCTACAGTACAGCTAATGCTAACTCACACTGACACTGACGAAAGATCCGCTTGCACTGTTCTTGTTCATCCACTGGTTGATTCCCTGAGACATTCCTGAAGCCTGACTCCGGAAATCCTTGTTTTTAAAGGTAAAATATGAAAGGAAAAAAAACCCATTATTTCAAACATCTGATGTGAGTGAGGTGAGTATCTTGTAATTATATACTGTATTCACCTGTCTGGAGACCACAGGGCTGCCCGAGGAGACCTGCCGTGGCTCCTCCCTCTCAAACAGCCCTCTCTTCCTGGACACTTCGTCCAGTAGCAGAAGTGTCCTGTGGGACACGTCCGCAGGTCGAGACATTTCTGATTTCTGCACACAAACATCAGGGAAAACAAAAATGAAAGATATTACAGGGAAAATACAGACTCTGTCTGTATTCCCCCTTCCCTCTTTCTTTCTAGATAGATAAATATGTTTTTATAAATAAACCTGAGCAGCTTGAGCCAATCTCTCCAACTTCTCCTGGATAGATCTGGAGGAAAGTCTCTGTTTGGAACTGAAAACACACCACGCGTAAATACCCTTTATACATTTGGATTAAATATACATATATTTACATATATATATAATACAAAAACTCTTCAAGTCTTACTTTCTGGCAAAATGTGAGATTTTCTCTTCTCCATTTTCTACCTATGCCGAACAAAAAAACAAACAAACAAATATATTAAAAAACTATTTTACGGAGTACAATGCATTAGAAATTTTAGAATTTTGAGCAAGGTAATCAACAGTATTTTTTTATCAGAGATAAAAACCCTTTACATACTGTGTTGTTTTCAAATCTCTTGGTGGCGACTCTCACACTCGAACTGAAACAAGAATAAATGAAGTCATTGAAATTGTAGATTATAAAAATTGTAAATCAAAAAATATGTTAATTAATATTAATTAAGAAAACATAGTTTATACCTTCTCTGTAGGGGAGACACATCTTCCTCTTTCTTTATCATCTGTGACAAAAAAAAAATAGAACATGTGTGTTTGCATTTAAGGCTATGTGCTTTCCCAGTCAAATTGGAAACGCTGAAGACCATATTATATGTTTTCTTATTATTTTTCATTTATTTTAATTCTTTTAATCATTCGTTTGTACTCACATCACTACCTTGCTACGACATGCTAGGTCATTAGGTGGCGCATCGCATTTGTGTTAAAATGGGATTTACGCGAACACAGGAAGGGTAAATGCAGCCGAGATGCTAACACCAGCCCCAAATCGTGAATGTCCTTTATTCTTACCACAGGTCAGTAAATATACACTCAGTCAGGTAAACATACTATATTTTATGAGTTGAATATGTGACTAAGTAATAAGCTGTGTACACATAAGATAAAGTAATCTCTTATCGAGAGAGGGTTGATGTTCGGTGGGTGTGACGTGTATGCTAAGTGGCTAATGCTAAGCGCACCTGTATAGCAGTGAGTGAAGAAAATGGATGCCCTAAATGTACGTTGATGTTTATTAATGAATGTGTTTTCTTAAATGTGTAATTGTCTGTCTTATTTGTACTCAAATTGATATATATTTTTAATTATTGCCAAAACCAGGAAAACGCTATTGCAAAGTTAGAAGTGCTGCTTCTTTATTGACTGTGACTGAAGTTGCTTAAGTGAAAACAAACTAATTGCAAATGTTGCAAAAACGAATGTTTTTCATGAACATAATAGAATGTTTTATTATTGTTATTATTATTGTTATGTTATTGTTTTCTGTATCAAAGTGAAATTGCATCTGACTGAGAAAAAATACTTCACTGCAAACGTGTTTTTCATTCTCCAAGTTTAAATTTTTTGAATTTAGCTATGCAGGATCAACTACTTTTGATGTTT